AACCGGGGCCCTCTGGCATCCCAAGCCAGCTCTTAATCAATGTGCCACTCGGCCGGCCCTCAACTGTGGTTTTTAACTGCATTAATCAGAAGTCAGGGTTACAGCAAGGCCAGTTGTAACCCAAACTAGAAATCAGATGAAATTAAGTTTTGGTATCACCTCCTTTTTGCTTCACAGTGCCTCTATTAGTTTAAGTTTTAAGATTTGGTATCACCTCCTTTTTGCTTCACAGTGCTTCTATTAGTTTCCTAGGGCTGCCATAACAAAGTACCACAAACTGGGTGGCTTAAAACAATAAAAATGTATTCTCCCACAGTTCTGGAGGCCGGAAGTCTGAGATTACGGTGTTGGCAGAGCCACACCCCTCCAAGGAGAGGATCCTTCCTCACCTCTTCCAGCTTCTAGGAGCCACAGGTATTCCTTGGCTGGTGGCAGCAGCATTCCAATCTCTGCCCCATTATCACATGGCCTTCTGCTCTCCCATGTCTTCCCATCGTCTTCCCTCTGTCTCTCCTCTTCTTATAAGGGCACCAGTGATACTGAATTAAGAGTCCACCCTACTAACCTCATCTTCAACCGATTATATCTGCAAAGACCCTATTTCCAAATCAGGTCGCATTCACAGGTACCGGGGCTTAGGACTTCCACATATCTTTTGGAGGGACATAACAACCCATAGCAGTGCTCCTTTCTTCTCTCCTTACCACTCTGCCTTCCTGCCTCAGACTCAGCATCTCTCCTGCTTCCGTCCTCGCTGTCAACTAGCTTCAGGAATTCCACACCAAGGACGCAGAAGGCTAAGAACAACTTAAGCAGGTGCCCCTGTGGGGTCACAGCACTCGGGATAGAGAGGACTCCAGATAAAGAATAAGCACCCACTGTTGGCCATCTTCCAGTCCCCACCGCTGGGCCTCTGCTTCCCCCATGACTTGGGTCACTGGCTATCCAGTCCAGCCTGTTTTTGAGGCTGAGCTTCCAAGGTGGTATAGGACAACTTTCCTTTGAGGAAAAGCTGCTCAACTGTAAAATACCCCACCAGAGGTGAGGCTATTTATCAGATNCTTATCAAAGACAGTAAAATCGGGACTTTCTTCCTCATTGAAAACTCCATTCTGATCTCTTTAGCCTTTTACTATGAAAAACTTCAAATACATGTAAAAGTATATAGGAAAATGAACCTCCATAAAAACAACACTCAGAACCAGCAATTACCAAGATTTCTCCACAGTTGCTTCAACCATTCCCTTTTCCAGTTTAGTGTTAAAAATATTATTTTTAAAGCTTAGAAAACAAAAAAGTATGGAGGAAAAAAATTACTCATAATCCCATCATTCAAAGTTGACAACTACTTCCTTCCAAGATTTTTTCAATGGTACAGCATGTAGTCTATTTGTATTATTACTAGTTTGTCACTTTTGTATTTTGTTCCTTAGTAATAACTCTGAGCCAGTTTCTGCATAAGGCTCTCCCCCTTTGCTGGTTGTGTAGGCAAAGCACTGAACTGGAATGCCAGACCCTGGCCTCGGCTCTCTCGGCAACCAGCTCTGTGACTTACACCTGATCTGAAACAGGTCTTGGCCTGATCCCTGAAACGAAGCCTTTGGACTTGATGTTCTCAGGCCCTCCAGCGCTAACATCTGATGTCTGTCAACGAGAGGCACACAGGCACAGCTGGTTCCTGCCACCACAGGGCGGGTTGAGTTGACAGCTGCCGGGAGAGCTCAGTGGCTCTCCTCAGATCGGAGTCCTCTCCCTCCTAACATGCCTTCATCTCTCCTCTCCAGAACAGGAAGAGAGAAGCCGGGAGGCTATTGAGCAATGGCGCCAGTGGCATTATGACGGCCTGTACCCACCATATCTCTACAACCGCCACCACATCTGACCTCATCGTGACAAACCCAGAAGACGTACCCACCCCAGGTGTTCGAGTCACTCTCTCCCACAAACACAGGCCCCTTCCAAGGGTATCTATCAACTTGGGGCCTGCTGTGGTAAACACACAGGCCTTTTGTTCTGACCATTAAAATGCCCTGGCTTTCGCTTCTTTGCGGATGAATTCTGAGGTAAGCAAATGCCTGTGGGGCTGCCAAACACCAAACCTGCAGTGGTTTCCCCCTTGCTTAGCCACTGTTTGCAATGTTNCCATTTTAAAATAAACCCATATTTAAAAACGATATGATTTTAGGTTATTTGCATTACAGAGCTCCACAATATTGTAAGGGCCCAGAGAGCCACACAGAGATATGAATTGAAATGCCCCATGATTCAGTGACTTAATCTCAAAGAACAATACAAATATAATAGAACAGAAAGAAGGAACCTGGCTTGTAATATCAGTACATGAAGACCAAATCAAGGGCAATAATCATAATTATCTAGATGAAAAAGTTACATATATTTATAGAATCTGAGCGCTGAAAGACACATTTCAAGATCACTTAGTCCAGCCTTCCTCATTTTAAGGCAGCTGAAGCCCAGAAGTTAAGGATCTTACCTGAGGTGAACTAAATTAATTATTTTGCCTCTGTGTCCCACATAAACACTAGAACCTTACTGCGATTCAAGAAGCGACACCACACACACTATAATCCAAGAGATACAGAAACCAGCTCTTGATTGACCTTCCAGTTTTTGGGCAAAAAAATTGTGTGAATGCAGCCATCACTGGCTAAGAACACAGAAGACAATAACATCTTGATTTTCCACTTAAAGGTCAATGTTAAATGTGGTGTCAAACCAACACAACGGAGGGAAGTAAGTAGGCAAAGCCTGTAGGTTTAACAAGTATTTGCTGTGACTGTGTCAGTCAGGAACACGGGCATCGCAGGCCCACCACCTTGCTTTCCCAGAACCACAAAAAGCAATGTAGTTGTGGGTACCTGTTTGAAGGCAGGGCTATTTAAGGCTATTCAGAAATTTGGCATGTTCTTCTCCTCTTGGTAACAGGGTTTCTCCTCCTATCTTGGGACCTGTCTTTTCCTAGAAAAATGAAAATAGTTTAGTAAGAAATGGGTAGATATTATTCGCATGGGTCACTAAAATTAGTTGCCTTGCAAATGACATACCTTTAGCATTGCATCCCGTTCCCATTTGAAGAGGCCACAGTTACTGAAAAAGAAAAGATGGGATTTACTCAGCGGTGAGGTATGGGTCCACACACATACATACTGACACTAGAAGAGTTTCCCCCATTGAAGCAGAAGCTGATATAGGTGACACACATATTACAGGCTATGTTTGAATGCTACTGAAAATACACAGGCCAGTGACTGGAGAAATGGTCTTCAATTCTGTAATATAAGCCAGACACATCAGAGATGGAGTTTCTAAAGATGGCATGACAGGGCACATGGTGGGTGATGAATGCAAGCTTGGTGCCTGCTGACAGCCACTGGGATGACACTCAGATTTAGGAGCTAGCCCCTTTCATCTTTTTCTGAAACTAAAACATTGGGATAAAAAAGAATGAATCTTCCTTCTAGTCGGGAGAATCCTTCCTTCTTTTTCATACCCCAAACGCATTTGCTCTCTTTTTATCCAAAAGGCCCAGAGATTCTTGTTCTCCTTTTTTAACATGGTGGATGAGTCCAACTGCAAGAAGGGGCGTGGCTACAAGGGGGGAAGCTTACTTCTACAAAGTTTACTCTGGAGAAGAAAGAGAGAAACAGAAAACAGGAAAGTCATGGACCTATGTCTTNAAACAAACAAACAAAAAAACCCATAAAAAATTAAAATGACTTACAATATCAATATTGGTGAGGATGTGGAACAAATGTAACTCAACTACATTACTAGTGGGTGTGTAAAGTGGGATAATCACTTTGGGAAATAGTTTAGCAGTTTCTTACAAATCTACACACACACTTATCGTATGACCCAGAAATCCCACTGCTAGATATTTACCTGAGAAACAAAAAACACATATCCACAGAAAAACTTATACTTGAAATTTAGTAGCAGCTTTATTCATAACACCCCAAACTGAAAACAATCCAACTGAAATGTCTATCAACAGGTGAATAAATAAATTGTGGGGCATATCCACAGTGAAATACTCAACAATAAAAAAGAATGAATTGATGATACATGCAACATGGTTGTACTTCAAAAATATACTGAGTGAGAGAGTGTATTCTGTGTGATTCCATTTTTTTGAAACACTAGGAAAGGCAGATCTAAATTATAGTTACAATAATTGTCTGGTAGAGAGGGGTGTGGTACAAGGCAACCTTTTGGGGTGATGGAAATATCCTCTATTTTGCATGTGGTGGTGGTTACGAGGGTATATACACTTGTCAAAATTTATTGAACTGTACACTTAAGATGTTTGACTCTTACTGTGAGAAATTTATACCTTAATAAAGTTGCTTTTAAAAAGTACCAACAGAGAAGTCTTGGCTCGAGTGACATAACAACATTACTACATACCTGGTTCCAATCTAAGTTTCAACCCACAATTTTCAAATCACTTCACCAATTGCCTAATCTACAAAACAGGGACGCTCCTGACCTGGTCCTAATGGCTCCTAATTATTTGTGGATTCACCTAATTGCTAAAATTTATTTGTAACTCCAAAGTCACTACCGATGGAGCTTTTGTGGTCATTTATGAACATGTGCCTGTGCAACGAAAAATTTGTTCCCGTTGTTTGGCTTTTCTCTGAAATGTAAGTCAGTATTGCAGATATGGTCTGAGCGACTCAGGACATGGCAGGACTCTTGCCCATTTTGATCTAGCAGTGTGGCAATACTCTTGGTTCTTTTTAATTTTCACAAATTCCACAGCTTTTTCACAAACTACTGTCAACTTAAGCCAACTGATTTCTTCCATCTTTTGTGCTTCTCTGTTATTTTCTTTAGATATATCACCATTTCTTTCCTCAATATTGGCAAATATAGAATTTTTTGAGCCATCCATCCTTCTTGAGAGCTGCATTGTTTCCAAATCTCCCATGTGCTCAGAGATGTCTGTGTTACTTGTACAGTAGAAACTCTGATGGGCTGCTATCAGTGACTGAGGCAAACAGATTTACTCTCCTGATTTTTAAAAGTTAATAGTATTAGACACTTTTAATCTGCATCAAACTTTGCTTCTACCATCATCTATTTCTACACAAAAACCCAATCCATGTACTCTCTTTCCTGTCAACTCTGCTGTATATTAGTCACCTTGTAATGTTTTTAAAAGATGAAAACTTGAGAATTTTTAAAAGTTGTAACTTTTACTATTTTAAGTTCCCTTTTGGGCAGATTCCACACCAATCGTTCAGAAGTTTCTTATTTGCTAGTCTGGATTATTGTTACCTAAATTACTTCAGCTTTCCTTTTGTGGTGTGGAACAGAAAACATTTTAACAAAACTCAAGAGAAAGGTGATTTTTCTTTAGAAAGCCACTTCTTTCCTCTAAACAGAAAAAGACAGCAAAAAAAAAAAATCTTTTGTGAAGATCAGAACAGAACACACTCACGGAGGACACAGATTTTGTTCTGTGTACTTACNTTTTCAATGACCACGCTTGGCATGTTGGCTCTAGATAAACAACTCTGGCAGAAATAAGAATTCAATTACCTCGTTCTACCCCATCCTTAACAAGGGCCCTATTATTCCTCAGGGTTTTCAAATTCCACCCAGAATTCCTTCACTAAAAGCCAATCGCAGTCATTTCTGGGCAGGGGGAAGCACACGCCAAAGGTAACAGGACCGGGAATCTGGGCAGCCACATTTAATAGGAAATTAGTAATGGAGCAATCTGTATTTTTAGAGACTAGCCTTGTCAAGAGTGTGGTCTTTGGGACATTCTTTAAACTAACTCTACTCTGTTCTTACATTACTATCCCCTAGTCCTTTAGGGATTTCAGGAAAGTGGTTGAAAACTAAGTTGTAAAAGGATGGATTGGTGAAAACTAATTTTTTAATTCACTAGTTTTGCATATCATCATTTTCTTTTGTGTGCCCGTGCACACACTCCAGGGGAGATACTGCAACTTATTATCAAATACTTTTGCTTAGATTTTTTGGGAGGAGGTGGTAATTTTTGTGAGCCTGAGAATGATTAAAAATTTTTTTTAAACTTGTTATATATTTTTATAAGTTTCATCTGATTGAGTTATTTCATTTCTAATTCATTTTTAACCAATTATGTTCTAATTCTTCAGCAAGTTTTTCATAATTTAAAAGTTCTTAAGGGACTGTTCCAAGCACAAGTTGGTTACATATGGAGGATCTAGTTCAAAACTCGTAACTCTGGTGCACGCTTGTACGGGCACTTTTAAAAAGGTTTGCCAACTTTCTACATTTTGATTTTTTTAACTAAAACATTTTGA